ACTACTAATGTACGTACCGTACTCATTATGGACCGTTTCGTGTCAACGCCGTACAACGCGCACTGTTTCATACATTGTAAAATGATAATGATAATTTCATGTCTTTTAATAAGTAATAACCCAGGTACCATTATGTTTATGCACATTGACGAGTTGACCATAATAATAATATAATGACACGAGCAGTCAATTAGCCGGCACTCCGAGTAGGCAATTTCGGTACAGCCGCGCGTGTGTGCATCGCCAGGCGTATCTTCATAAATAATAATAATAATAATAATAGTAGTAGTTAGACGACACGCCTTGTTGTGTAGTATAATAATTATATTATTACTATTATAATACAATATTTGTATAAAATCTGGTGGACGCAACCGCGGTGCCACGGTAATTGCAGTGGAAACCTAGTTTAGGTGGGATTACACGTTAAGCCGCCCAAACGTACATTATATACATATTATTATATTATTATCTGAATTAAGAAAATATTGACTTAATTCACAGGCGTATACGAATATCACAATGTACAACTCAAACCAGCAATTTGGGTCAAACATAATATCAAACGGTTGAACTACCTATATAAATGTATATCGTACCTTAATAACACCGCACGTCATATTAATAATATCATTGCTTCAATACAAATCATTACTATTATTTGTCCATTCCCTAATAGGAGGTGATTCTTCAAGAAGCCTGCCCACGCCAATGTTTTTTGTTGAAAATTAATTTATCAAAATTCTGATTTTTGAAATTTTTAAGTATACTTAAGGGCTATCCAATTTCCAATTATTTAGATTTATTATACCATTTGAACAGTGTCCTGATGAGATACAAACTTTATTTTTCAATTGAGAACCAACCTTTTTTAATGAGAGTAATTTTCAAGCCGGCAATGGCATTTTTTTTTATAATATCTTGGTAAGTCGGTTGCAATGTTGTGTATTATATAGATAATTGAATAATAAAAATATCTTTCTTTTATCTCATTTAGATAAAAACAATTTTAAGTATATTTTTATCTACGTATAAATTTTTCTATATATTTTTTTGTTGCAACATTTAAAATTTTATTTTCACAATATTTATATAGGTCCCTATACATTTTTTTTATGAGAGGTGTTAATTTTTCTAATCTATTGCATATTATAGTGTATGTATTTGATTTTTTTAACTAAAAACTTTCTAACTATTTGTTGAATTTCATGTATTATTTATTTATTACAGCGATCTGTCTTCACTGCTGATATCTTAGACCCATGTAAAAATATTATATACTTTAAATACCTCTATTATTTGCGTCACAAATTGTGACTCACAATTACAAAAACATTTTTTTTTTTTTTTTTTTTTTATAATGGACATGAAAAAAAAACTTGAAAATAACGGATAACTACAAAACAACAAGATATAGTAGAAAAATGGCGACATAATGTTAATAAAATACACCCACGCAAACATACACATATACATCCACATTTTTAAATAAAACTTTGTCTCCCAAATGTATCACTGTTGGCTGTTGTCACTGACTCGTTTTTAGTATCTGATGACGATGGCAGGCCAAACGAAACATATTATACACAACTATGCACGTAATAACCAAAAGTATCAACTACAGAAAAAAAAAAATGTTTTAATTAATACTTTGAATTGTTAACTATACAAATAATCACTGAGAAAATTACTAGGGTTTTCATTATAATATTTTAATACTACATCAAGCAGTAATAAAAAGTATAGTTGAAAATTATGTCTTAAGTAATCTACTAAATTATTCGTTCAATATTATTAGATGAATTAATTGAAATATTACTTTGATGGTTATTATTATTATAATATTAGAATAGAAATCAATGTATGAGATAAGAATCAACCTAAAAAAAAAACATGTAACAAGATTAATTGTTAAGTAATTTTATTTTAGAGCACCTAATAACTATTAAATTTCACGAGTACATAAAATATAAAGTTAATGATCGATCGAAAATCACAAGTATACATATTATTATTATAAATTGTAATATATATCCACGGATTTAAATTTGTTGTCAATTCCACGTCAAATACTACGTTATCCGTTTTCGATCAAATATTGAACTATAAATTCGTATCATATTATTATTATGCCGTCGGTATTAATTTATCTCATTCAGTTATTATTCAGAACATAAGTTACTATTCGTTGAGAATCGGCGATTGATCGCCATATTTATCATATTACTTCTTAATACCTTCATAACGTGTATATATCACCCCTGTATTAAAAAAAATATATTTGTTTTTACACTCTGTACATTTCTCCCGTGATAAAATTGAATATAATAATTATTTGGTTTTGCAAACATCAACTCTTTCATGCAACATTATTTTCCAGAAGCCTAAATAATCTTTAAAAACATGTCATTACGACACTTTGGGGTGAAGGGGCGGAGACAATATTGTTATGCTCAACGTACTAAGTACTGACTTCATTCAATAAAGTATCGTCGTTTTATTTGATACCGAGCTTAAAGACTTATAATAATATAATAGTATACTGTATTTCACATTTAATCCATTAACCCCGAAACGCTTGACTCTCGTTACATTATGTTTTCCGTTCGATCGATTGATTATCGAGCCATTTGACGAATTATAATAATTATTATGTGATTCGATAGTTTGGGATGATACGATAATAAAATATACTGTACACCTGATGACTATTAATTATTAAACCAGTATTATTTTATAATGCAACAACGTACGACATCGGTACTCCCTATAAAATATGTTCTTATATATATCTTAATCAATAGAGAAGTTTGGGTAAACATATTTTTTTGTAAATTAATAATTATTTATGACCCTTGCTTCGAATTATCATCACACAATCGGTCCTAACCAGTACCTATGCGTACCTCGGCATGGAGGTATGAAAAACTCCCGACAACGAAGCGATTGACCTAGTGATCACATACCCGATGAATTTTGATGATTCATCACCCCTAAAAAATCGTAATTTATTAGTTTAGTGTCAGATTCAATTTTAAGTTTTCTCATACTAGAGTTTACATAATGGTACGATTTTTAGTTTAAAAAACTTTCGACCGAATACAAAAATAGCCAGAGAACTCTGCGAACATACACGGAATTTCGATTTGAAGCGATGACGGAAGGGGAGAAGCTAGTTGATATCGATGTATATATATTATCATAATGTATAACCGACGTGAGCGAAATAGGAAATGGATAATTGAAAGAAAATGGAAAGGTAGTAAAAAAGTAATAAAAAGGATGACATGAAATGGGATTTAAGCGATTCCGACGTTTGGCTTGAAATTTATAAGAATCACAAATTATTGTCGACGGACCAGTGGTTTTATAAGGGAAGTATTACTGTGTTAGGAGGAACTCCTGTGTAATATAGTAAAATATTTTGGGAAAAAAAGTTAGAGTAAAATCTAATTTAATCCGTATTGATGCGAAATGAACTTTGTTCGTGAGCCCGACTATTATATAGGTACAATATTTTTACTTCAATATTATAATATAATACGCTTGCTGTATTGCAATGAATTTATGACAATGCAAATGGTTATTTTTATTTTAATATTTAACCATACAAATACTCCAAAAAAGTAAATTTAACCACTCTTATCCTTTATGTATAGCTCACTCGTACGTTTGTAAACATAATTTAACCAATTTAAGTCTGTGTAATCCGTGCTAAAAATGAATTTATGTTATATTATATTATTCAAAAAATGTACATTTTTTTTACATATAAAATACTGCATTAATATTCGTCGAATATAAAAAATCTATATTCTCTTACTGAAAGTAAACATTCTAGACTAAAGTTGTTAAGGTTAAACCAACAATAAGATACACATATAAATAAAATAAACAAAACATATGTATATAATATACTAAAAAAACAACAACAAACAGTTAAATGTTTTATTTCCGAACCAACAAAATAAGAATAAAATATAATGTATAATATATTGTTCGTTTTGAATAGTTTTTCGAAAAAAAAAATAATAATAATAATAATAACGCTTTCTTTTTCTATACTTTAAATTTATGACCGAACGTGTTTTGTAACAAAAGAATGATTTATACAGAAGAAAGTTTGTTAAAAATAGTTACATCTGATGCCACGTCGTTAAATAAGTCGAAACAAACGATTATTGCTTTAATAGCGTGCTATAATATTACACTTCCGATAGACGTCAACATAATATTAGAAGTACTCGGTATATGGTACATGTTTTAATTATTTTTTATTTTTAATAATATTATATTAGTGTGTGCACTGTGCACTGTTCATACAAATATGGTATGTACATTGTACCTATGATGTCGTAAATACTGTGTGACCACTAAAAAAAGGTTCTCTATTACTCAGTTATCTACTTACATTATTACCCTATACATGACTTTGAATTTTGTTTGAAGGTCATGGGACTAAACTATTGGTTCACGGATTCCTATGATTTAAATTTTTTTAACTCTTGTGTTTTGCACAACAATTTCACTTTTTCTGTTTACCCTGTTTTTGTGGACAAACGGTATAATGGGGATGCCCGCCTTCTGCGTTTAAACTTCCCTTTTACCAGCATCACACTTTTAATTTCAGTATTATTTTAGAACAGGTTTTAAATTTCAACTTTCAGATCATTTGCATAACTCATTTCTATAAAATATAATTTGAAATTTGAATGTCTAAGATTTTTAAGAAACGCAGACACATAATATTTTATTTTTTCAACTTGATTTCTTAGTACGCTGTAAGACACCATATAATATATGTCCACCATATTAGGTCATACTAATATTTTAGCCCGAGAAAACGTTCTAATTTTTATCTACATTCAACATGGATTAAGATCATAGTACCGACATGACTCGAAATATGAAAATTAAAATATAGCCCTTAGCAAATATTTTTATATTTTTAATTTATTTTCTCTTTTTATAATTTATATGATTTATGTTTTTATTTATAGTTCAGAAAACATTTGAAACCAGTGACTTCGCATGAACCATACGATTTAAGAATAACATCAATTTTGTACGTATAAGAAATTTTATTATTATACACGAACTGGTCAAATGATGAAGTTGAGACATGATGACTCAAATCTCTGTACAACTCGAATATACCTAATAAATATTATATCTCATAAAATAGATTTTAGATTTAGCAATATGTATTTATCTCAATACCTCAAATATCGGTAGCTTTCCCATATTTTTTTAAAATTAAATTTCCAGTTTATGTGGCTAGACTGTATGTATAATTATTTGACAAATTTTGTTATACATTGAAAGCATATTATAATATAATAATATGTCGACATAATGTAGATACTCATTTATTAAAATCCTTTATTCGAACAATTCAACATAATAAAATACAGCGTAGGTATTGTATTTTGAAATTACACAATATGTTTTTTTCTTTTATCTGAGTTTTACTTATACAAAATAATTATTTAATCATTTCATTATACGCACAATTCACCGTTTTTTATACATATTCTCTACACACTACCTACATAGATATTAGATATCATAATTCAATTATTTATTATATTTTTTTTTATAATAATAATATTACTTTTCCAATACATTGTTTAATATTTATGATATTATTTTCAAGCCATCAGTATTTAACTTAATCTTTTATTTTAATTACAGTTATTTTCAACCTTTTTTTAAAATTAATGCTACCTAAATAAGATAAACCATTTTTTTGTGACACCTAAATAAATAATTATTTTATACATAATATGTAAAGGTCGCGAATCCTCCCCTCCAGATTAAGAATTGTTGTACTGAATAAAATTATGAATACTGTATTACATTATCGTGAAATGTGTATAGACCCAAAACTGGAGATGTCCACTTTGAATTTTACTCTCGTAAATCGGATCAGAAAATTGTACAAGACCTACTCAACCATATGATAGCCAATGGTTCTCTGCCAGGACCTGGGACTGTGCCACTGGTAAAAACAGCTTTATCCTTTCAGCAGGAACCATCGTTGTGGTTAAATGTATGTGGACATCTATAATTTATTTTTCGTTTAATTTATGAGTTGTAATCTCATTGACTATTGTAGAAAATGGACGTGAACAAAAATCGAGATTCCATACCCGAAGGAGAACCTTTCATTATATCGTGCATAGCCCAAGGTCCTCCAGATATGCAATTCAAATGGTTTAAAGATGGAATCCCAATTAATACGTCAATATCAACCAGGTATATTTTGTAATTTTTCATGTTGTAAGATTTAAAAACACGTAATTCCATCAAACACATTAGGCCTGAATAAATAAAAGAAATTAATACATTTTTACTTGAACTAAGACATTAAGAATATAATATAGGGTTGCCAACTTAACAAAAAAAAAGGGGGTGGGGTCATAATTTTGAGTGGATTTTTATTTAATATTATAATAAATTGAATAATATCAATATATATTACATAATATACGATTTATTGACAGCAATATCTGATAACCAATTTCACAAAAACGATAAAATATTAATATATTTATATCAAAACTCTCGATCCGATGGAAATACCGGATTTTTTAATTTTACAACATTACTTTGAAATACCAGGCTTATTAAGTCTATATGGATGTGAAATACCGGCCGGTTGGTAACCCTAAGAATATATTATAATATCGTTTGTCTATTGAAAATACTTTTGTAATAACCAAGATGAGTATATAGTAAAACAATTGATTTTTATGTATTGTTATAAATACACAAACGTTTAGCGGGATAATTGAGTTTTTCTGTGTGGAAAAAAATCTTCATGTACACTTTAAATTACATTTTTATTTTACAGAGCTTTTTGTAACTCGAGTAGGTACTTAAAATAATGCTCGTATTATATTATACTAAATAATGAAAGAAAAATCCGCATATAACTTGTATTCAGTTAAAAAAACATGGAGTATTTTGATACCTATAGTATCAAAATGGTAATTACTTTAAAAATAAGTAAAACATATCAACGTCAATATACTATTTGTTTTCAACATTTCAAGTTACCGAAATTACAAAAAAACAAAATTATTCCCATTAAACAATATTCGTTTAAAACCTAAATCTACTAATCTCAAATCATACAGAAAAACATAAGAATCTAGCATTATTTTTACGATGTAGAAGAATTTCAATCAATACTATTGAAGTAACAGTCGATCACTACTCAAACACCACTTCGACTAAATACATAATTTTTTCATGTCTATTTTAGAAACATTTGGACGAAAATCAAGAAAACGGACAAACCCGATTACAAGTCTTCCATGTTGGTGATCGAACACGCTGACATCTTAGACTCTGGAAAATTTACGTGTCAGGTGTCCGACCACTCACACCAACAGTGTCAATCAGTAGCGTTAACCGTGATCCCTCTGCCGGAAGTCATAATGAAACCGTCCGTAACGGTTAAACCTGTAATTAAACAGACACCACCCATATTTTTTTTGGTTGATTTAACCTAGGTACTTACTTGTCTCGTCCTTTTTTTGCAGGGGGACAATGTGACGATTATGTGTTTTTTGAAAAACGAATTCACGAAGTTTGGGAACACGTGGCTGGATAGTGACATGCATTTGGTGAAGATCGACAAAAACGTGTACTGGGAAGACTTGCACCGCGGTGGCAGTGTACTGTACGTGAAGAACATAACGGTGAGAGTATTTATAATATGAACTATATTATTTCCATCGATTACCTTACCTCGTTGTGGTCCGTTCAAATCATTCTGGTTGGATCTAGCATAGTATAATAATTTTTATACTGCATTAAGCGTTAAAATAAAACGTATTACTTATAATTTCCGTATAGACTTTTTTTTGTTGTTATATAAGTATAATACTACGTATATAATATAATAACCCAGTGACAGATTACTCTCAAAACGACGTGTTTAATATCTAGTGCAGAAACGAACGATAGCGATTCGTGAGCATGCCCCACACAAAAGAAATATACAAAACACTCCTTCTCATCTAAGCGCTCTGACCACCACCCCAGGGCCATCCTTAGAGGCGGTTGAGTAGGACCCTGGGTCTCACGCATTTCGCTTACATTTGGAGGCCTCCCAAAAGTGGTAAAATTGGTTTTCTCCCTGGGCCTAGCAAATCCTAAGGACGGTCCTGCAGCGCCACCCCCGGAACGAGTGTGGGTCATGCGGCGTGTAATCACGCGATCACACGATACCCACCCATAGGGTTTTCTAACGTCTGTGTGCACATATTTTCACAGTCGTCGGCAGAGTACAGGTGCGAAGCTTCCAACCGAGCGGGCAGGCGTAATGCCACCGTGTACGTTGACGTGCTCAACACGAGAGTGATGGCGCATTGCGTTGCCGACGGCGTTTGGCCGCTGACCGGCGCCGGAAAATCGGCGTCCTCGGAATGTCCGAAAAATAGGTCGACCAGCTACGCATCTCGTACTTGCGTGCTGACCGCGGCCAACCGCACCGAATGGCAGAAAGCCGACTATTCGCGGTGCGCGCCGGACGATCTAAACAAAATCACCATGAACGTAAGTACCGGCACAATAATACTATCATGCAATATACAATAGTATAATATTAAGTTATTGTGCAGCTCAAAAGTGCCCGAGATATATCATATTATATAACGAAAGACATATATATATTATATATTATACGGGCTGATTATATTTTCATCTCGGACCAGTCGATATCTGTAGGAAACACAAGAAACTTGTCGTTTTTCATTCTATTGTCGAAATACACTACAATCGCTGTGGAAAAATAAAAAAACAGAACGTTCCTAGAGCTTACATTATTTGGATTGGCCGATGGGCTTCGTCAGGTTCACGATGAAAATAAAACCATTCAACTATATTATGATATCGAGGTGTGTGGGTGCAAAAGTTAGGTCCATCGTTAGGTCGGTAAATATAATTGTTTTTAGTATAATATACACGAATAAACCTAATCGTATGTACACGAATAATGATAACAATGTGTGACTAGCACTGTCGACACGTGGCTAAACTTCGAAGGTATTTGTCGTGTTGTCGACGTCTGCAATACTTTTGATACCTACAATTTGTATGCAGTGACAGAGGATATTAATAAATTATGTTAGGAGGAATTGACAAAATGTGCTCCTAAAGTTCTAACCTATAACTCCTACAAAATGGTGTACCTATTTTGCATACTCATAACGCCGTGTCTCCTCCCATTTCATTATTGAAATTTGTGAAAAATATGAATATACTCGTCGTTATGATTTAATAGGTTAAGGTTTAATGGCAGGGCTTGCAAACGTTGATAACGTTTATAATAATACGATTATAACGTTAAATTCGTAAAAAAAAACGATTGAAATTTGTAAACGCGTAATTGTTGCGGAAAGCGATAATCAAAATTAATTAAATACTGCTAAACAAAACATAAAAAACAACAAAATATATTTGATATCATTAAATAAAACACAACACAAAATTTAATTTATAGAATATCATTAAACGAAAAATAACTCAAAACGAAATAATTTAAAATCCATTTATATAAAAAGTCAATTTTCACCAAATGAGCTCTAAACTGTTTATTTATAATTATTATTGATAATATTACCTATTAAAAAAAGACCTGGGTATTTAATTCACACAATTATTATACACAACTATTATTTAGTTACACGTGTGCTTTTATTTTTATAACTATTAATTTATTGTACAAGTAATTGTGTAAGTACAAGAAAATAGATTTTTTTAACCACCTGAAAATTAATATTTTGTTGATAAGATGATGCGAGATTTAAATCACATAATTTATGTTTTACTTGTGATTATAGAAAACCATACCATTAATGCATAGGCGGTGTTGCGTTTTTGCCAACACAGAATTTATATATTTAATGTGAAAAGTCAATTTATTCTTATAGCCGATTTGCTCCGGTCACCCCTAAAACCACAACTATTAGTACTTAAGTCTGCGATAAAACGAAAAAAATGTGCATTTGCTACAATGCATACTTAAATTTAGCAGGGCTTTCAATGATTTTTGTATTTCTTTAGAAATCTAATTCGGATGGGTCTTTTTTTCATTACTATTCCTGTTTTCTTTCGAACCCAAGTATCTATCACATTCTGTTCGAAAGCGGGGACCATCAACTTTTTCGATCCCCAAATGTTTCAGTATCAACGTACCCATATATAGTCAACGTTGAAATGCACCACCAACCGTGTGGATGTGCGTATAAATAAAGCATTATGTAGATGTAGAAGTGCAAGTGTATAACGGCCGCAGAGACCAAGTTTCTGGATTTTCAGTTTAATTAAAAAACTTTTCGATCGATGAACATTATGTGCCTTTACGTCGTCTCTGCTTTTGTAGTAAAATTGACAAAAAAAAAAAAACAAACAAACAAACAAATAAAAACGTCGCCTATAATGGACGCGTCCGACACTTACGCCGTCACCGCCGACGGTACACGTCACGCTTCCGGGAAACCATTCAACGGCACACATTTTTCTGCTTCATTTTTTCTATTCAATCACAAACCTCTATCTACATGTGAGTGTACACTGTCAACGCTGCGTTATAAAAAAATAATATTACACACCTACGGTATACGCCGTTCACGGTGTTGACGGTGATGTTTACACGTCATCCCGCCATCGTATTTTAATTTATAATAATAATTATTATTATCATCAATGTTATTGCATGAATTTCAAATGCGGTCGTGCACAATTCATTTTCAGTTTCGCAAAAAAACATTGGGATACGATAAGGTCAACGTGACGGCCGCGAAAACGTTGAGTTCGCTATACAGCGATCTTCACTCCACCGCTGTATGGTATCCGGGCGAGGGCGAGCCTGTCATCGATTTCCTCGTGTCCGTCACGTCGTACTTACAGAAATCGTCCGATTTGGCTGACCTAGACCAAGCGTCCATCAGCTTTGACAACATACTCAGCATGCTGTTGGAAAACGATTCGGTGGTTAACGAAAAGGTAAGACGTGTTTACCATCTGTCTGCGGATCCCGCAATACGTCGTATGAATGTCATTATTATTTTACTACTTATATTATATTACATTGTTACTGTTATTTTTTTGTTATCTCACAGAAAATCGTTCAGCTTCTGGATATGATCGAGACGTGGACGCTGTTAAAAGCGTTTTACTTGTTCACCAACGAAGGAATTAAACAGTACACCAACCAGATCGAAAATATACACGTCGCGTCAGCCTCGGAAGTAGTGACAAGTGACAGAAGAAATATGACGCACCGGTTTTATGACAAGTATAAGCATAATGCAATTTTTTTTTTCAAATAATAATTCAATTGACATGGCCTATTATTTATTCCACGTACAAACTATGTGTTTCACAGACAAACCATTAGGCCCTCACAACAACCAAAAGTAATCGTGTCAATGTGTGACGTTCAAATCGACAAATGGATTAACAAATCGTTCAATGTAGGAGTTACGACGTTCAGAAATCTATCGGAGTTTTTTCCTAGAAAATATTTCATAAACAAGAGGTAAATAAAGACGAAATAATTTGCCACGGTTTCAATCAATAAATGTGTATATTATTTTATTTTAAACGGACCTAACATATAAATTAAGATACTTTGAAATACTGGGTACAGATATTATTATGCAACTTAAGTCAAATTCACTGATGTCGAAAAAAAACATTTCCTTTGGAAGTTTTCAATTTTCATTTCAAAGTTATTGTATTTATTCAGCTTTGTCCAATTCATTTTCCGTATAGGTATTATATTTTTATTTTTATTTTATTTTTAAAACTATATTTCAGTACTGGATTTCTTTTCATAATGTGGTTTAATATTATTTCTATTAAAAAAAACCGAATCAAAAAATCTGTATCCAGGTATCTAAACCCGCGACTGATGTTCCCGTGACTGCCTATGACAGGTATAATAATACTTTGAATTCGTACGCACCATAAGTTAAGTCCGTTAGAACTACCAATCGGAAAAGAAAACTTTTTCTGTTTATTGAATTTTAAATGGCGGAATGAATGGAAATAAGAAGTCAACGAATCTGCTCGTCGCGATTGTATGTCAAGTTGAAGTGGCGGGATGCCACCTGCGAAGTTGTTACATCGTCCTCTGGTGATAATAAAAATATTTATTATTATTCGGGGTATCGGGGGATCTTCATGAATGTAGGATGTCCTGCGGGAGTGGTTGATAAAAAATATAGTGGTTGTAGGAAAAATAGTTGACTGGGAAAATCTTAAGTCTGTCGTAGTGTCATCATACAGGTGATGGAAGTAGAACATGTTGTAAATTATAATACGAGTGTGTTGGTTTTCAGCAAAGACGGCGAGATCGAGTACAGCGTGATGACGCCAATGGTGTCGGTCAGCGTAGCGCAGGACGATCAACGGATACGCAAACATTGGCCGACCATTGTTACCGAGTTGGAGTTCGACCTTACGTTGCCGTGGCTGGTAAACGGAACGTGGAACGTGACGTGCGTGACCATGGCCAGGCTAGCCGACCACCAGTGGGACATGTCATCCTGCCGGGCGGTCAACGTCTGGTCACCGTTGTCCAACGTTACCCGTTGCCACTGCCCGTCAGCCGGTCTGTTCACCGTACTCGCTAGAGTGATGCCACTGGTCAGTATATAAGTATAGAACTTGTGACCAACCAAGTCGAATAGGTAGGACTGATAAAGTCCGACGACGTCTTTCTTCACATTTTTGCCCAAACGACCCGATTTCTGAGGCAAAATTAATTCGTTGAAATTGAGAAGTCATTTTATTTATGAGTTTTTTGTGACGTCAGTAGGTGTCTTCACTTTTGAATGGCTATACATTCATTACCCAATTTTATTGCGAAAGATATTTCTAAAATACGGCAGTATGTCATTAATCAACCAATTTGCATCCCATGTTTTTATCTCGTAACAGTATATGCCTAAGCCCCTTTGCAGGGGTAAACTATTGAATAAATAAAAATAAAGACTTTATAATAGTATACACTTGTGTCGTAAAACAGCACTAACGCTGGACTCATGTGTGCCCACTGAATAGTAGTCGGGTCGTTAATTATGTGCCGTTAATTATGCGGAATACGAATCTAACGCGGAGTGTCTACCCCTATATGTCGTGTGTACCAGACTTACTAAAATGTTTATTTTTCTTTGAAATTTAATCGAACTTATATTGCAATACAATTATTTTTCCTTATATTTTGCTTATAGACATGATATTAAATTATTAACTTATGTATATGTGGTTATATCTTTAAATAAAATTTTAATCACAAAATATGAGACACGACACAATGTTACGATCTCAGTTTATTGGATGCGTGTTTATGAATGTAATTTTCTAGTCGAATAAAAGTTGTACTTTCTCGAATCTTCTAGGATAAAATGCATCAAATATAAATTCATCTTGTTCTCAAACTGAAATTCTCCATAATAATAAACAAAGCAACTTTCATGTTTTTTTTTTGGAAAATCCACAAGGATTCTTCTATTTCGTACCTACCTTACGTAAAACGATTTACCGACTAATTTAATAATTTTGTTCAAATCAAAAAAGAACGAAAAAATTCATTTATCATAAATATTTACATTACTGTTACACTTCATATCACATCAAAACTTAAAATGAACAAAAGTTGCGAAGGAATTCTTTTTTTTTTTCTTAAATCACTGAAATTCGTGGAATCTTGTTAAACTATTAAAAACTCTTCATCTAAACCATTACTGAATCCCTCTTTAGATAAAAAAAAGCACTATTTTTATATTTTTATATAATAATATACCTATTGTATTAAGAATATGTTTCATATACATTATACCTCTGACGTATAATAGGTAGGTAAAGAATAATATAGTCAGCAAAATATAGTCAGAAAAATAATATTTAGAAAATAATTCTGTTACTGTTTGATTTTCACTGCATACTAAAACTATAATCGTATGTACAAAAACATATAAGCCGTAAATTACCACACTTTTGCTGTGGATGGAAAATGTATGGATAGAAACAAAAATTACTCTTAGGATAACACTTGTAAAAATAAGTTTTTTTCGTTTCTAAAACTCACATTTCTTGCATTTTTAGTAATAATTATTGTGCAAGTATAGGCTATTAAAAATAATTACACAAGAAATCCATGATCAAAGTAACGCATCATTAAAAATAACAATATTATTTAAACTTTTAAAATTTCGGGCATAACCAACGTTACACTCCAGTACTTACACTACACATGCAGTGCTGTCAAAACACACGTCCCAGTTTGGTTTCGAAACGGTTTAGAACGTATTTGAATAATGATCGTCGTTTGTTTTTATTCTTGCTCATACTTAGGACGAAGGAGGTCAAAGTACTTCAAAACAAGATGTGATTATCGTGTTCGGGTGTGCTTGTTGCCTGGTGCAATCGGCGATGTCTCTGATGTTGCTGGTCACTCAATGGGTTAAACACCCGACGTGCATTGTGTACTTGAAGATACAGCTGTGCTTCGCAATTATAATCCAGATGTGCATGTTTCTGTACGCAACGAAAAATGTAAATGTCCATCGTTATTATTTTAATTACTTATAATCATTGTTTTTATTTTCAAGACATTCTGTTTCGAACGCGTTTAACGACAACAATTTGCCATTTTCAGAACGACTATGGATATTTTTCGCTGTACTTGCAAATAGTGACCATAGTGGAGATAACGTCGCACTTGAGTCAGTTGCTCATCGTCTACACGGAGATAATTAGTTTCCCGCAGTTTTCCAATATTAAACTTCCCATTATTGGCGTAGCGACAAGTGAGGATAATTTATCTATCGGTAACACGCGAGATGTTTTTTTTTTATTTTTCATGTTTCCCATTCGGTGATAAATCCTGTTATCTTCAATAATTAAAATACTACGTTATCCATTTGACGTTTTATCAATAACCGTCATATTTTTTTCGTTATTTATCTTTTCTCTGAAACAAAAAAAAAATTAATTGAAATTGATTGACCATTCAACAATTTTTTAGTTGTTATTTATTTTTATATACATTATAATATATATCCATATATTATGTACCTACAATTGTAGAAATGTATTTATATAATAAAGGAAATAAATATATGTGAATATGTTATTATAACACACGTAATATTACAGAAACTTATAGTAGTTTTCTTTTTGAATTGATCAAAATATAATATAATATTAAATTATTACCTACATACTAGTAATACATTTTTTTATAGAAGGCATAGGTGCAAATTAGACCATTTTGTTTTTAAATACCCCTCAGTCAAAATCGTACAACCAATATTGTTGCCCGCCTTTGAATTTCTTTTTTAACTATCCTTATTTTAATTTTCAAATAAAATAAGATTGTTTGGTTTTTTTATGTTACAATCCTAACCTAAGGTAATAAGGGTATGCCGTAGTCGTACCATGGTGGGCTGACCAAACTGGCCGTTGGCTAATATACACTAATGACGATTTTTTAATGTTTTTCAGCTGCACCAGTGTTATTTGTGCTCAGTATCATGTTAAGTCTGAATATTATCGGCGCTAAGCCTATTCGACCATGGTGGTCGTGGGAAAATTCTGCGTTTATATACGTTTATATCATAATCATTGTGCTGCTGATGATTATGTACTTGTCAGTATTAACGATAACCGTGCCTAAGTTGAAATTTATAAAACAAAAACTTCAACGGAACACACCGACAAGTATGAAAAAAAGGTAAGCCCTTCTAATTTACTATACTTTTGTATGCAACTATCAGTAATTGTATTTATCAAGTCTCCTATTTCACCGTAATGCGTTTGATTTCACTTAACGATCAAACCGGTGATTTTCACTAATCAGATTTAATTAGGTGGGTACATATTATTATTGTAACCATTAATCTTAACAAGCCTACAAATCGTCGAGTCATTTCAAAATTATTCGTGTTCAATAGCTATTAAATTACGGGAGATTGTAAATTCCACTCAAAGTTCGTAAATTCCGCCTAGAACATTTCCGATTCAACGTTGAATACATACAAATCCCACCCAAAATTAGCAGACAATAAATAAAGGTACCTACTTATTAATAATAAATAATAACATATAAAACAAAATACATAATGTACCAATTAAAATAAATTAAAAATATTGATATTTTCGATGTATTTTGTAATTAAATTACAATTTCTCATAGCTTCACAGGATACACAGACTAAAAAACACTGCTATTTAAAATTTTCCAAAACTCCATACATTAATAATCTGTATTGATAGTGACATAGGCACATGGCGTAATAGATAACTCAAAAGTAAAAATGTAATGAAAATATTATTTAAAATATGGAACCAGCTAAATTTTAAGTATAGGTATTCGTATTCCTAAATGGTTTTCATCTGTTTTTATATTTTATTTTAATTCTACTCATTAATAGAACCTGTAACATCTGCTCTTTAAAACTATAATAAGTAAAAATATTTTATATAGTTTACCCATATCCGTACTTACATAGTTACGTTCTTATTGCGTATATTTTTGTACGAATTTCAACAATTATTGAATGCTATATAATAATATAATTTAATTATAGTTGTTATATTTAATGGTTAAATGAATCGTAAATTTCAATTTCACAAGCACCTCAATTGGTTTAACACCGGCATACAATATGTAGATTCAATTTGTACACAAATTCCTCCACTAAATTTATGTACACATTGTAGATGATGATATTACATTAAAAACAAAACACACATTTTCCCATCAATATCATTGTTGTTTTTAAAATAAAATATTTTATATACTACAGTTGAAGTAGGTTTTTACAGTATTAATATTTATTTAATATAATTATATTTGAAACATTTTTATCAAAGTTACCTATATAGGTTTTTCATGTTTTTATCCCACATATTTTTAATTCTACATTCTGAAGCAATATATTTTTATGAATATTTAAATTATTGTTAACCTAACTCATTTTATAATTAACAAATCCATTTAAGCAATAGAGAATAAATAACTACATATAAATTGCGATGCAATACTTTGTCATTTTCTAAGTACGTTTTAAAACATTTGTATAATATTCCAAAATAACTACGGTGCATTCAACACGAATTATATATTTCGAATTTTCTCTAGAGAGTTGCAAAAGCTTAAATAGTAATTATATTGCACTAGTCAAATATATAAAATAATTATACATTGCGTTTATAGGTAGGCACATAATATGTACCAACATTAATAGAATTATTAAAACAATACTATAATTAATAAAATCAGTTTTCATTTAAAGATACTAAAAATTAATCATTCTAGAGGTTAGTGGTCTTACTCGTCTTTTCATCTATTTTATTATCAAATTGCATAATATCCATTTAAAAAGAGATCATTCTGTATAATATATAATGTTCCTTCATTCTTGTTTATATATTTTGTATGTGTACAATACTTAGATCATTTTAACTAGTACCTATAGTAATTAAGTAGTATTGAAAATATTAGGGATAGGTACTTACATGTTTTATTATGATAGTTTAAAAATTGTTATTCTTAAAAGTATTGATTGTTCACGAAGATTGGCTAAAGAAATAGGAATAAAAAAATGAATTAAGAAACCATTTTTATATATTGACTAACAAACAATATTAGAATTAAGACCAGTTATTTATTTTATGATATTTTAATTTAGATCACTTTCAAAATAAACGTAACATTTGTTTTTAACATAAGTAGGTACTTTTTGATCATACTGTACGTTTAAAAACTATTTTGAGAATTTTGAACAAGACAGTTAAAAAATATACATACAGTTTTTATTAGTTTATAGAATCTAAAATAAAACAATTTTGATCCATTTTTGAGGTAATATAACATAAAAAATAAGTTCAAAGAAAACGTACAAAATTAAAATGTAAGTATAAATTGTTGTGCCACGTTCGTGGAAATTCAAATTAATAATACATTTGCAAGTACCTATTTTGAAAATTCAATTAGTATAGCTCCTACGAAAATATAAAATATATATTTTAAATAAAAACATCTTTCTTCGGTATTTGATTATAATGTGTATTATGTTATATTTATATTATATCTACTAAATACTTATAGAATGAAGTATATTCGTTAAATTTTAAATGTGTTTTTTTAACGATAATACTTTAGAACTAGTTGTCTGCGTAACTAGACAGGGTTAAAAAATAAAATATGTCTATTCAGACTCGAATAAAATATTTATTAAACTTATGTAATTTAAAATACTCGTTGCATTCATAGTGTACTTATAGTATATAAGTTAAAATTAAAAATGTCTTATTTGAGTTAATTTACATAGAATGCAAATTGATATTTTTCTAATATTGAACCAAATAAGTGGCTTAAAAAAAAAAACTATTTTACTTTATTCAGACGTATAATATATTATGAAAATCGTTTGATGCTTAAATGCCAATGATGCAGTGGAGCCATCCCTAGGCCATAGATTCTCCGGAAAAATGTTAAACAAAACTTTATAAATGTAACATGCGGCACACACTGCATAATAACGTTATATCTTATGATATTCTAAAAGAGGAAAGTTTTTAATACTTCTTCTGCAACCTCTCAAAACGCATTTAATCATGTTAGAGTACCTATATGCGTATAGTTGGTGGATTACGAAATCCTTTATTTTTACGAAATGCTTTCATTTTAAAGCACGTTTAGTTTCTTCAACAATATTGTACATAATAATTAATATTATATTCTTTAACATTGTTTACACTTAGAATGGAACTTATAATCAGATCAGTAGCTATCCTGTTAACCGTCATCGTGACGACCGTTTCCAGTATCCTGCACATAATCTACATGGAAGACTTTTCCAAGTATATTTTCAGTTCATCGTGTGCCGTACAGGTAAGTGTGCACCATCTGAGAACGTTATCGTTTCACGTAAACCCGCGCACATTCAGCGGCAGATAGCGTTGTCTGCTTGTTTCGTAATGCGAGATAATAATTACTGTTTCCAATTAATTGTTTTACTTTAACTAAATTGAACGGAGAACAAAAATTTTGAAAAACATATATTATTATTAGTACTATTGTGATTATTCTATAAACTAGACAGTGTTTGACCCGTATGTCCCTTAATTTAGGGTTTCGTTGTGTTGTATTGCTACGTCTTGCACTCGGAAGATCCGTTTGACTTGAGAACCGTTTATCGACCGAAATCGTCACCGCAACAATCAAGCGATGATAACCAATCGGATTCTGCCGGAAGTCCGTTGAAACGTAAGTATGACCAGTGATTATCGCACAGTTGCACAAAAAACACTCAGTCGTTTAAATGATTTGTGGTATAACTCATTTACCGACACATGGTTCGTCGAAAATACTTTTGATGGTTTGATACTTGGCGTGAAAACGTATCACACGTGAGGTATGCTTTTTTAAATACTTCACGTTTGTTTTTAATTGATAGAGAGCACTAATGTTTAAAATAAATCGATTCCCATTTAATGTTCGTTAATTTGAATAAAATATATTTTTTTCGGGTGAACAAAAACGTTTAATGTGAATTATAACTTTAAAATCTTATTGTCTTGCGTATCGTCATAAATTCTTTATTGTTTAACCTTAACGTCACAAAAACGATAGATTTATATTATTATTGTACCAAATATCAACCACGATACGAACAAATAATGGCGATAAATATTGAACAAACGCCATTTAAGTACGTAGCAATTATAGATCTGTAATACTTAGGTAAATAACACGAAAAAAAAGAATATTTCAACAATTAAAATATAAACAGCATATGATAATACTCTTCTGTATAATGATAACTTCGTAATATTTCTTACGATGGAAATGTTAAGTATAAAAGTTTTTAATTTTCAGGTTTCTCTAAGAACACAATAGATTACGAGATAAAACAATCGATTAAGAGTGACATACTGGAAATAACAGATAATCCGCAAGAGTATTTTATCACTCAAGAAAAGCCAGTATCGATTGTCAGCAACCTTACTAGCTCGTTAAAAAAACTCGATAGCAATACCGAGCCTAAAAAGTCTGTGACATTTCGGCATGACTTAATCACAGGTAAAATAATCAGTGAGAAATGTATGGGCATATTGCATGATGGATTGTTAACAATTAGGCTATTTCTATCTATCAGTATACAATAGATATAAAATATAATTTTTTTGAGTGTCCCAAAATATGTTTTTAAAGTAAAAATGTTCTCACTTCAGCGTGAAGTCGTAATTATCTTTTCTATTAGCATAGCACTTGAGTGAAAATACAAAATCAAACGTAAACACAATTTACTTCTGGTGTTTAAAAACATATTTTGTCACTAGGTACGTATCTACCCTTATTCAAGACTATCTTTTCACACCCAGTAAAAAAATTTCGTTTGCTCTTCAAAAATTGAATTATCGTTCGAATTATTCCTGTGCATGAATTTATTCTGGTTAATGTTCCTCATTTAAAGAGAATTTGAGACGTTATAATGCTGGAATCCAGGATAATAAATTAATGCAGATAAGACGAAAAAAGTTACAATATTATGAAAATATTTAATAGTATGCAAAAGTACATTATTTCGATTCCTATAAGTCTTGTTTTAAATAAAGAGGTTTATTTTTAATTTAACATTTATTTGATCGATACACTAAATTAGTTTCTTTAAATAAAATAATCTTGGTTATTTGTATATAAAACCATACTAGATACAATAGTTTTTTATGATATAATTATTATTATAATATTATATAGTATTAATAAACTAAAGTAAATAATTATAAATTATAATTTTGGGTTTGTTCGAATATACATTCTTAATACACAAGAAATTTTGAGCAATTTATATTACTCAAGTAATTTTTTATATTAATACGATGAATAAAATAAGAACAACCAAATAAACAACCAATGAGGCATCATTTGTTCAATATTTTTATTTCATTTCAATTACACTAGTCTATACAACTTCAAATTGAAGGTGCTGTAAAATGGTATGTAGAATAATATGCCACAACTAAAATTTCTAACTATTTGGTGCACGAGCAATATATTATTTGAAGCTTTTTCATAACATAGTATATAATATGACGTACATATTACATACATCCTATTATATTAAATACAAACTTTAAATTTAAAATTATTAATATATTTCTATAGTCCATAATACAGATAGAATGGTAACCTAATAATAATGTGAATAGAATTTTAAAATATTATCAGATATCTAATAAGATATAGAAGTCAATTACTATTTGAATCAAATTGTTTGTAAATATTAATAATCTAAATCATTGCTCGCTGCATTATTGAGGCATTTATATTTTAAAGAAAAATAAAAATCTTTTTCATAGGACCGTTTTGTTTTATTATCACTTGTAATAATTTTTAATGTTAGAATTCTATTTGTGTAGTATAAATATTATATAATATTATAAATGTATAAACATGCATAATAAAATAATAGAAACTTTATCTTATTACGTAACATAATATAATACCTACATGCAACGTATTTAGTGCATAAAAATGTCTCAACTATAGACATAAACTTATTTATCTGATGCCATTATTTTCTTAGTTGCATTTAATTTGAATTAATAATTTATCATTTTATCGTTTATTTTTAAAAAAAATGTAAACTTATTTACGTTTGTAATATAGATAGAGTAGGTATTAAAATGTTTTATATTACAATATATTATGTTTACGTAATCTTTGAGAATTATCACATACCATTTTTTTTCTCCAAACGTATTTACTCTGTACTGTACTTTAGTAGATACAAGTTATATAATGTAACTTATCATAAAAATAATATATATGTATATAACTTTGAAAGATAACATAATATTGATATTCATTGTGTCACTAAATCATATTGATGCCCACATTTATGATGAAACTGTATGTAGTTGGTACTGTATTTGAATCACTTTAGTCATAAGATAATACAATTTAAATATTTCTTTGTTAAATTTTTTCCACTGTCCACAGAAAGCGCACATTATGGTTTCGTTGAAACGTTTTTTTTTTATCGGTTTTTAAGCCTTTTAATATATTTCTTTACATAGTATTATACTATTCTGTATTAATATAATATATATATATACTATATAGGTATAATAAGATGATTGTATAATTAGACTAAATATTTTTTAAAAAATTCTATTGTTAACTAATTTTTTTTTCAAAAGTATTTTGTGCCACAGACTCTATTTTTTTATGTCTTCACTTGCAGTTTAAATTATTGTTTAATTCAATTTGATTTAAAAGAGTTTCCTATATTTGGTTATAATATGAAAACCGAATTAATTTTCTTTTGTTCACTATTTGGAGTTAACCTTAGTCTGAGTATTAAAGATACTATTAAACATCATTAATCACATGATTGCAATATTATTATTACTCAATGTCTTACATTTATCGCTTACTTGTAGATTGGTTCCAATTGTGGACGGATAAGTTAGGACTTGGTTTCTAACAATCTTCTGGGCTCATATTATAATATACTTATATAGATCGCATTGTATAGGTAGATGTAGGTAATTAAAGACTATATTATTATTTATTTTAATGTTTTCGGTTTTACTATTTTGCAGGGTGTCACGAAAAGTCGTCGGACGACCACGACACTGACAGTGGATGCGGCGATTACTGTGGCAGTGGAGAAAAGAGTTGTTGTTCGTACCGGAACAACAGTCGGTCACCATTATTGGAGACGACGGCTATCGATTCTGCAGACACGGTATTGGTGGACGACTGGCAGATGGTGGACTTTGTAGATGCCTCTCAGCCTACCTCGATGGCGCCACTTCCGGCCGGAAGCGACACTTCTATCCGGTGCGTGGTGCAACCACCACCCGACATGTTGGCCACGCACGTGTGCGTTGAAGTCGGACTGGTCAAACAGCATGCCACCACCTCGGATGGTTCCCCGACAATCGTAGTGTGCAGCGTGGATGTAGAACCATGCCGGCAACCACATATGTTATTCATGTCGTCGTCGACGACACCCGAACCTGGGACAGACGGCTCCGGTGGTGACAGTAACGACGATGACGTTCTGGACCGAATATCCCAAGACCTGGACTATCTGCTGAACCGGAAGAACGTCGTCGACTCGAACGTGGTCGAGTCGGATGGCGACGGTGACGCTGATCGCAACCAGAAAAAGAAAACCAAAGACCTAACCTAACCCTGAGACGCAAGACTCGTCGGCTTTGAAGAAACTCCAAACGCCAATGCAAACTATATCCGATCATACCCCAGCGCCCACCGAATCACACTAACGCAGGACGTTGATCACGTTTTTGGTTACCGTTTGCCTCGAATTTATAATAATTTATTTAAATGTTAAATAATTACTATTTACATTTTTTTTTTTCATATTACAATTATGAATTGTACATCTATTTAAAACATAATATTTGTTCACGATATTGTATAATAATATGATCGTTGTATTATTATTAATACGTTCGTTTTTCGAATATATTACTACTATTATTATTATTATTTTGATTATCATTATATCGTTGTTCTCAAGTGTTTTGTGTACAGCTATAAAATATTATCATTATTATTTAGACTGTTTTTTGTTGGTCTTTTTTTTTTAAGCATCATCGTATGCAACAGGCGATATTTTTCGAAACAAAAAACTGTGTCATTGTTGTGTCATTCGTATTTCATAAAATATCATTTACATTCTGCCGTATAATACACATACAGGTTATAATGTTATTGAAATGTATGTATTACTATTATTATTATTATTATTTGTAATATTAAGGTGTCACGGGTTATAGACTATGCAGCACGATTGTTTGTCGATTTTTCGTCGGTCTTTAACGAAAATGTGTTTTTTCGGGTCCCCACTTGAATCATATTCACCTGAACGTACCACCATTTTATTTTCCCGCAACATGAACCAACAATACAGTGCCTATGAAATGAACAACTCTATTGTGAACTATGTGACGTTGCCGTTGGTAAATTCGATTTTCAATTATTTTTTCAAGAAGACAATAATCTTTTAAATCACCTTTATTTGTAATGCGTATAAGTTTGAAAAAAAAAGAATAATAATGGCATGTTTGTACACGTGCAGTTTTATTTAATAAAAATATTGAAATACATGTTTGTGTAATATTTTTTTAGAAACACGGAACAGATATTATTTTATTCGATAAACAGATTGAAAACCTAAGAACCAGAAAATTAGGGCTTGAAATTGATATTTGCTACCGATTTTGAATACTGGTTAAAACCGTTAAAAACCGAAAACAAAATCGAAAAAACCAATTCCGGTACCTAATTGAAATCGGAAAAAATTCAAAACCAAAAACGAAATCAGAAAAAATAAATACCGATATCCAAAATCGAAATAAAAATCGGAAAAAATAAATACCGATATCCAAAACCGATATGCAAATTATATAATTATATTAAAATATTTTTAATAGGTACATTTTAGATTCTGAGTGAAACAATGAATGTATTGATTTTACAATGATGTGTGTTTTTTTTTTTTTTTGTGTCTGTCATCACGTTTTAGAACAGTAAAAGTGCTTGGATTTTCTTCAACAGTAGCTTTTCTGATAGAAAAGTGAATCTAGTTGGTACTTTGGGTGGTCAAAAGTAAAAATTTCAAAGTAGTTTTCACAAGCGCCGGGAAAAACAACCTAAAATTAAGGAAAAACAGGAATTTTTACGCAAAATCGATATTCCAAAAAATTGATTTTGGTTTTTGGTGTAACTCTAAAAGAAATGAACGTATATACATGAAATTTTCACTGGTTGTTTATATTTGTATTTTATATACACGATAACATTTTCAAAATATTTTGATTTATTTTGAACTGTTTAGGGACATTTTCATTTTCCATTTTTTTTTGTAGTTTTTTTTCTAAAAATATCAATAAAATTTTATTTGTTGGTTGCGAAAGCTTGAAAATTTAATAGAAGGCTCCTAGTATATTTTTTCAAAGGCAGATGAAAAATATTAAAAATCCTTAGTCACAATTTTTTTTTATAAGCATTTAAAATTCAAAAATTGACAAAATATGGAAAAATCACTAAAATTAGCAAATTATTTTGAGTTAAGAATTCGTAAAAATTTTTCTTTTTAAATCTAAGATTTGAAAATGTAATACAAGATTTCTTATAAGATTATCTACCTTTTATCAAAAAAAAAATGTCTATGAGAAAGTCAAATTAAATTTTTATGAGCGTTTGAAATTCAAATTTTTACAACATTGGATATTCACTCGATTTCTCATGTAGCGATTTCCTTATTTTGTTGTAATTCAAAAACGAATAACTGTAGATACATGAAAATTTCACTCAATGTTTAAATTAGAATTTCCTATACACCATACAATTTTGAAAATATTTTGACTCTTTTTGAGCTATTTACGGACATTTACCGCTTTCAATTTTTTTTAGTTTTTTTTTCTATAAATATCAATTAAGTTTTATCTGTTGGGCCAAAGAGTGTAAAAATTTAATACAAGGCTCCTGATATATTGTTACAATATCAGTTGAAAAATATTAAAAATACATAGGCACAGTTTTTTTTTATAAGCATTTTAAGATCGAATTTTGACAAAATCTCGAAAATTATCAATCATTGTAATTAATAATTAATAAATTATAAAATGTTCAGTTTTTATAGCTAAGGATCGCAAATTTAAAACAAAGGTTCTCATAAAAAGTTCCTACTGTAACCAAAAAATCTAAAAAATATATGAACACAATTATTTTTTACAGACATTTTAAATTCAAATTTTTACGAAATTACATATTAAAAAACCTAGAATAACTATTTTAGTTATTTTGTTGTGATTGAATAATGTTATTCGTGAGTAATTGAAACTTCTAAAGTATACTATTATATATCTATGATATTATCACCGTTTTTGTTGATGTATAAGTACCTAATGGATATTGTGATATGATTAATTTGGAATTTATTATAGATACCTATTATAGGTCAATTTTTGTTTAATATCATAGATATGTATATAATATGTCTTATACCTAGACTGACATATCGTCTCCGCTCAGAATCGTTTTTCTTATACAATGATATTATATCGTTGAATTCAAATTTAATATCATTCATTATACAGTGACCCACTTGTAACATACTGTACAGCAGAGCGACACCCACTTGCCCACCTTTTTATTTTTAATTGTATTTAGTAAATATTAATATATACTTTATGACGAAAAGTTTCAAGTATACTGATGGATAATATATTTTTTGAATTTATTTATTTTACAAATATACGGGTTTCCCTTTTAGCTTTAAAATAACGGTTCAATTGTAGACAGTTAAAATAATAACTATACACTATATAAGACATATAGGAGACATAAGTACCAAAAAACAAGGTTTAAAAAATAATTTATATTTTATTAAATTATTTTTTATCAGTATTTCATATTCATAATCCCAAAATCATAGTTGGCAATTTTCAATAATCCAAAATATTAATTTTATCATTACATTTTTATAAAATACAATACTTGATAATAAATACAAAATAAATAAATAAAATAAATTTAAAAAAAATACAAAAATACTGAAATAAGCGTAATCGTAACCGCCACCAATGGTTTGGGAAAAGCTGCTCAATTCAGAATAACCTTGTCAACTTTTGAGCACGCGACTTAGTTGTCGACAGCCGTCAGACCCCCTGTCGAGAGTCAGGACTCGAGAGCGCTGTGATTGGTCGTTAGTTTTTGACCGCTGAAGTGGCCCGTCGCTATCACTGAATTATAATTTATGGAATACGTATTGCGAAAAAAAAACGTTCCCCCCCTAGTAAGCCGCCATTTTGATTTATTCTCTTGGAATAAGCAATAAAAATTATCTGGGAAATATGCGATAATTTTTGTTATCATAAAAAATGAAGATACCCCCTTCGGTTAAAACATATTAACGTGGATACCACCTGTATATCACTGAGATTTGGTAGAAGATAAGCTAATAAAACAGTTCTATTCATGAAATTCATGGAAAGAAACATTAACAGAACCAAGATGGCAGTCTCATAGGGGGATTCACTTTTTATATTAGAAAATATACACAATACGCATTCCATAGAGTTTTCGTTGATCGAGTGGGCAAGGTTATTCTGAATAGAGTATGCGTTACTTTTAGAACAAATATTGAAATTGACAACTATGTGTAAGGCTTGAAATATTGTACACATAATAGAATAATACATCATATTTTAATGTAGACTTCGGCAATCTAGAGTTCATATTCGTACACACGAAAAATATTACGTTCATAGGGTATAGGATTGTTTTAATATTTCAATGTGTATAATGTGTAAATATTTACTGAAATAATTGATATTTTGAACTTTTTACAACAAAATTGTACGGTAAATTTAATGGCAACTCTGATAGTAGTTTATCACTTTAACCGTTAACGTTATATAAGTATCGAATATCGAAGCATATGTATTATGTCTGTATACACTATACCTAATACAATGAACGTCATATAGAAACAAATATTTTAACATGTGGTTCAAACTACAAAAGGTAAATATAAGACAATTTGGTCAAATACCATGGTGTTTTTCTCGATAAAAAATTTACATGGAATATAGATATTCACATAAACGAAAAACAGACAGAGGGCTATACTTTAATGAGAATGCTTCACCCTTTGGTCAACTTCGAAACAACACTTCAAATGTATTTATTTATTTATTCACCCAAATCAATTACAATTAAGTAATTACAATAATATACATAAATAATAGCGCTGATACAAATAATAACTGAGGTTTAAGCTCGTATCTGGTTATATTTAAAGCCGTTTTATTGTAAAATACCTACATAAATAAAATACGATTCAGCATAACATAGTAGATAGATACTTTAGAAATAAAATTAACATCAGAGGGACACATTTATACATAAAATAAGAAATTATATTTTGACATTGGTATTGACTTTTTATGATTTTATTAATATGCACTCTATAATTACGTATTTAAAGTTTAAACTAATAGACAGAGCTTAGAGAGATAATTCAGGAGTACAATATACAGGGTGTATCTTATGTCATTGTACTCGAGGTTTTTTAACGATTATGGATCGACGACATAGAATACGAAAAAAGACGTGTTTCTTTGTTTTTAACAGGCAATTTTTAAACATGTTTAAACACTC